AAGTTCATTTACTCGTGACGGGGTGAATGCCAGTGACTTTGTGGGCGTCTTCTTTGGAGAATTTGAGATATTTTCCAGGAAGGAGGAGCAGGTTCTGTCACACAAAGGAGACGGTTCCCCCCTCTCTCTTCTCCTCCTCCTCCCAATGGATGTCTGGGAGGGTTTGGATGAGTTGATAGGAGTCAGGGAGTTGACACTGCCCAGACCAAATTGAGCACAGTTCTTATCACGAGCAGAGATGGCAGGCGGAGTGTTGACTGTGTAGCCCATTGAACTGTCAATTGGCCTGTCTTGCAGGTGAGTGGCGTAGCCTGCCTGGTTGTGCCTGGGAGGTGTCGCTTCCTCTGACAAGTCAAAACTGGCCATGTCGCTCCATGCAACAGGGTCCTGAAGAGCAAAACACATCTACAATAGATCTTTAATACATTCATTAACTTTTGGATAACCAACTCATACTGAGATACAATTGTTTTCTGTTGTGCTCCTACTGTTACTCACTGAGTCAATGAGCTCCATGGTCTCTGCGAACTCCGGTATGGTCTGCAGGGTGGAGAGCACAGCGCTAGCCTCCACAGCCAGGAACTTGCTGGGGGAGACAGGAAGCTGTGGCTGAGGTCCCTGGGGGATCTCAGAGCCCTTCCAGGACCTTCTCTCTGCCTGCTCCTTTAGGCTGCTGCTACTTGTGGTCAATGTGTCATCTGACACACTTTCGGACCAGGCTGAGTACTGCTCCAGACTCTGAGGGGGCGGGATGAGAGAACACTGGTGTTAGATATCTGGCTCCAGCAGCAGATCTGATTTAATGGTGTGAGACTGGTAGATGTCCAGTAAAGTTATTCTAAATTTGTATCCATTTGAAATGACTAGGAAAGGGTGATACTACAACATATCAGGCCAATCTTCACCATTCAATCATTCAATATGAAGTCACTGGCTGTGAAGAATGACACATTTCATGAATGAAGTGGATTAAATGTGAAAACAGTGAAGGGAGGGACAGAACAGGAACAGGAGAGACAGAGGGTGCTTGGTTCGAACTGCTGGCTGAGCGTGGGTATAGGACGGAAGGGGATGAAGGAGCGGGTTCATGTTTGGAACGATGGTAATGGGGATGGGGATGGGGATGGG